TGTGATTCCACTCGTTTGTAGACTTATCTAGAATCCATGATACAATAAATCATTTGATTGGAAAAGTAAATGTAGTCATTAAATGCACCTGCTTAGTCAAGATTCCCCTAATAAGTATTCAAATGCATTACAAAGTTGTACATGTATGAATAATGTTATTTCATGAGTTATGTTTTGAAGAGAAGCAAAAATGAATTTCATAAAGTCATTAATATCAGCAGGAGATGATGTGAGATTTGCTGTAAATGAGTAAAGGGAAAATGAATCAGGAAGGGTAACCAACTATTGCATTTGTTCCTATTTGGTCCCTTTCATTTTTTATGTACTCAATATATCATCGAACTTATTGTTTTGTGTTCACCATAACCCTTTGACCGGCTATCACAAGTCAAAACTCGGTCAAAAGGGTTATGAAAAACACAAAAAACAAGTTCGATGGTATATTGAGTAAAAAAAAAAGAAAGAGACCAAATGAAAACAAACGCAACAGTTAGTTACCATAAATAGTCATTTTCCCTTTAGTGAATGGTTTATTGGGAATTTGACTTAAGGGTTTTTTTTTTTTTTTTTTTTTTTGTGACTTAATGGGCTCAATGTGTTAAACATTTAATCTCATATACATGATTGTTTTTTTTTTTTTTACTAAATCTGGATGTAATGACTTCATAGGTGAAGCGAAAAAACGTGGCATAATGTGTTAAAGCACTAATCACTTATCTATTTGCATTACCTCTTTTTTCCTCTCATGTTAAAATTGATGACTTTGCAAAAGTTTATACAAACATGTATTATCCGTTTGATCATTGATGGAAGATAAAAGATAAACATCTAGCATCCTAATTTATTTATTTATTTTTAAAAGATTATGGAAAAAGAATGAGTTAGTAGAGAGGGAAATGTGTTTTTTTCCAACAAGTTTTGAGTTTTTACAAATTTGTTCCTATTTTTATCCAATTTTCCATGTTTGTCTTTTTCTTTTTTTCTTTTTTATTTTAATATCATTTTATCTAAACAAAAAATAGAAAAATGATGTTAGGTATTAACTGGGAGGAGTACAAGAATAGTATGATTGCAACACAAGAGAAATCTCAACCATGATAACTATCTAAACCTAAAACTGCAACAAAAATGGATTTTAAAGATTATTGTCAAATCAAATAAATATAACAATTTACTTCTATTGACTTGTTATCAGGACAATCTATTATTATTGTTATTATTATTTTATTATTATAATATTGTACTTTGAAAGTTCTATTTAATTTTAGCATTGTCATATATTCCAAAGTATTTTTGTTGTTGTAATTGACCGGATTGTTTCCATTAGGCTCTATATCATAACATTTGATTTCTATTGTTAATGTGTATTTCATGATTCTAGTAGTATATAAAAAAAACTTAGTTAATTGATTAAGAGTTGAAAGTTCTCATAAAAAAACAGTATTTAAGCATAATTAAGTAATGTAGCTTTCAACATAAACCTTCCTTTTTAATGCTATTGATAGATGAATCAACCAATTAAAATGGACCCCAAACAAGTAAGAAAGTGAAAATAATTTAATTAGTTATATAAAACTTAATATTTGATTATGACAATTTAATTAATGCTCTTGGTAGATGGATCAACGAATTAAGAAAGCAATAGAATACCTAAAACATGGTGGTTTTACTTGTCAATGAATTTAGTTAACACAAAAAGATTAACGATCACATCACAATTAACCACCGAAGTGTCCGCCTTCCTTATTGTTTGAGTGTTTGACCAATGCAAGTACATGATCCAAAATTTGTTTCAATCAAAAAAGTGGACTAATATAATAAGTCGATGTTGGGTATAATAATAATAATAAATATTACTATTATATAGCCAAAACTATCATATATGTAGTATAACTTGAATGATTTGATGTATATGGAATTTATACAATAGATCTAACTATGATTCAATAAAAGTCGCGGGTGCGAAGTGCACACTTGTATAAAACAAGTTTGATCCGCATATGACGAATAACGAGGATCAAAGGGGTCACGACACCTTGCAAGGTAAGGGAAACTTTGTAGGTCAACATTATTTTAGACTTGAAATGCAGTGGAAAACCATCTCCATAAGTGACGGATTAATATATAATAAATAAATTTGACTTGGAACAAATTACCTAGTGGCCTACTATGTATATTTTCAGTGTTCAAGGGTTTTAACTAGAACTTGACCTGAGAGGATATCACTAAGAGGATATGCGATGTACTTCAGTGTTTTATAGGGTTGTGCATGGGTCGGTTTTGGACCCAAACCCAACCCAACCCAACCCATAAATGGTCGGTTTCTGGTTTTCAGAACCCAATAGGATCGATTTCTGGTCGGTTCGGTTTCTTGGGTTCTGAGGTCTGTTTGGGCGGTTTTTCGGTTTCTTGGGTTCAACCCATACATTCACGGGTTCTGGGTTTAAACCCATAGGTTTTGGGTTTTAACCCATTTTCTATAAATGAAGCAACAAGTTAAATACTTCAAAAAACACCAAATTTAAGTTAAATACTTCAAAACACATGAGTCTTACAACAAATGGTCTATTACAAGTTACAACCAAAGCTCGAAATAGTCTATTACAACCAAAAAACAATCAAGTATGGGTCGGTTTCTTGGGTTGGATGAGTCGGTTTCTTGAGGCGGTTTGTCGGTTTTAAGTATGGGTCGGTTTCTCGGGTTGGATGGGTCGGTTTCTGGGTAAAAACCGAAACCGAACCCGATTTTTCAGTTTTTAAAAAATTCAAACCCTAACCGTCGGTTTTGTTTCGGTTTCGGTTTTTTCGGTTTGGTTTCGTCGGTTTTAGTCGGTTTCTCGGTTTCTTGGTTTAGGTTTGCTCACCCCTAATGTTTTAGCATGTCATCCAAAAGGCGAGTCCCCTCCCATATCCTTGCAAAAGCAGGGAGCTACAATGGAGGAACCCATTTTCAGATAAATTTGACTTGGGAAAAATATGCTCTAGTTTTAACTTTTAATTTCTGGTGCCTTAAAGAAAATTTTGGATATAGAATTTTCTTGAAACGATTATAATTGTCACGTAACTGCAAACAACTTCCGAGAACCACCAACTTCGTCATCTATATCCATTTTATGGACGTTGTATATATAAATACACATTATATTCCACATTTTGACAAGGCTAAGATTTCTAACAATTCAAAATACCAACTTAGTATTTCCTATTTGTCCAACATCTTCTTCGCATATCATTTGGCTGGTTGACTTATATTTATTTATTACATTAGTTATTTATTGATATTAATAGTTGTTTATAATTAATATTAGATATTGATATCTACAAGATCAACAATGAGAAAAAATACCCAAAAATGATAAACAACATGAAACAATTGTTAGAACCCACATCAAAAATTGTATTACATACACTACTTACAAAAGAAGCAATGAACAATTAATTACAAACTGAATTTCGTGCTTGAAATAAACATAATTATAGTAATTAGATAAAGATACAAAAAATTTAGTATCCTAATACAAAATTGTGTCCTTATTCATGCAATAACTCTTTTTTTTTTGAACAACTTAATTGTTCATTGGATTTTGAAGCATGACCAAGTAATAGTATTTCTAGTATATCTACCATCAAACCAGTGAAAAGAGCTAATAACAATGTTTTCAAAAAGGGCACTTCTAAGCATAGGTGACAAATTCAACACCATGTTATTTTCGTATATGTATCTCCATATGAACCAAATTGAGGTCAACACAATAACTTCCGACACCTTCCTCTTCTCGACATTAACCCTAGTCGAATCAACCCAAGACAATAACTCCAAAATATTATAGAAAAGGGGGAAAGGGAGATCCAACCATTTAATCACCTTAACTCATATCTGATTCGCCAGATCACAAAAAAAAAAAAAAACAAACACATGATTCACATCCTCAATATCCGACATACACTAAGCACACATCACCGAAGGCAAATCGATATTTATGGCATCCAATTTGTTCCTTGTGGGCAACCTATCCAAAAGCACACACCAAAAATAACGTTAACCTTGATCGGGACTAAACGACACCATCTAGTATTAATAGAGCCCAAAGGAAGGGTATACTTGTCTCTATAACACATGGTACTACTAATTGTAAACTCACCATTTGTCTTAACTCCCATTCCCACCTATCACTCCTGGCCGAAAACACCACCTAGTCAATTCTGCAAGTTGATCAATAGAAACACCACCCGAGATATCCCTATTCCAAGCCCAAAACCACTAACCATTTTGCCACCTATAAGCAACAAGACATTTTTTGAGTCTCCAAGGTATACATCCTAGAAAATTGAACCATTAAACTCACATTCCTGCTAAAAACTATGGATGTTCGCGGTGCAGTTTGATGCGGTTTAGAGTCAAAACCGCAAACTGCATCGCATATACGGTTTGAGATTTTTGGAAACCGCAAATTGCACCACGTAAATCCTAAACCGCGTTATGCGGTGCGCTTTAATAACACTCCTACTTTTATTATCGCGTAATTTTAGTTGTATGAAAATTAAACTAAATTTAATTACTTTTGTATTAAGATGTTATATATAAACTTTTGCAAAATAATATTGTTTTAATAGTTAATACAATGCATAACACTCCTATACACAACCTTCTTGAACCAAGACATAGTAAATACCAAGGCTACCAAGTACAACTTTAGACCATGTATTAGATTTTTTTTTTTCTAGTACATATGAAAATTTTACCGTGTTTAGAAAACGAAGTATTCAACTATAGAATAAAACTAAAAAAACGATATCATATCGGGGTAAATCTTACCGAGGAACCTCACGAACAAGGTCCGAGGTAAGATTTTGCCTCATAATCGATCCTAATATGAAGGGAATTATTTATGGCTTTGACGCTTTGTAATATCTTAAAATCATAAAATTTAAGAAGGAAAGTCGGATAAAAGTAGAACACATATGTCAAAAAAGAATTTAAAATAAATGATTTTTTTTGAATGGATTTAAATAAAAAAACACGTCACCATTTAAACGAACAAATTAAATTGAGTTCAATAAACCGGAAATACGTGACTGACAGACTGAGGCACGATTGGCGGGTCATAAAAAATGTAGTATTTGACTCGGATTCCGTACACCGACGGAGACACCTCCCCCGACGGTGTCGTCATGTTCATTTCTTGAAGCAAACGACGACTTCACCAATCAACCCAAATCCCAACAAATCCATTTACTTAATTATTGTTGCTTCAGATCTCTCCTTCTTCGCTGCGATTAGTTAGGGTTTCATTATCTTCTGTCTCTTACATATGCACCATTAACATTGCCATTACCCCTACTGACACTTGTACAGATTTATACTAGTGTGCGTTGGTCGATGAACTAATTGGATCATGCATCGTGATCTGATTTGAATTCTTGTTTCTTACTGATCTCTTCACTTCCCAATCTCTCCCGCCAAAATGGTTGTTTCTGGACCTTTAACACCTGGTCAGGTAAACATGAAAACTGCTAATGCTTATTTGATAAACGCTTCCATTGATCACGATGTGTAGTTGTTGGGATTTGATTTCGTTCTTGAGCACCAGATCAGTGTGTGGACTTTAATAAGTGCATTAAGTGTGAATGTGTGATATAATACGTTCAATAATGCTCCTTGAATTCCATTGTAGGATCAAAACTTATGTAATAATGAGTTATTTAGTTCACTTTTAACACTTGGAATATTAGATCCTGTTAGAGAATGAACTTATACTGGTCTTCTACAGCATTTCCCTCAACATTGTAGATAGTTTCTCTAATATCTGATTTTAATATTTCCCTTTCACCATTGACATTACCTGTCTGTACATATGAAATCATTTTAAATAAAAGATCAATCCATTGGCTCCATTCATAGCGTCATCGATACAAATTCATTGCCATGATGTCTGGCGCTGTTTTATTGCAGGTTTCCTTCTTGCTTGCAATCATTCCTATTTTTGTTGCTTGGATATATTCTGAGTGGTTGGAATACAAAAAATTATCATCGGCATCTAAAGTGTAAGCTTATTAACAGAGTGAAAGCTTTAGATCATAATTACAACATTCCATATCTTTTCTGAACATGGAAAGATACATTATTCATCACTGAAATACTCATACCTGTTTTCTGTGAACAGTCACTCAGACAACAATTTGGTTGAATTGGAAACCAACACAAAGGAGGAAGATGACCGAGTTGCTTTGTTGGAAGGAGGCATCACAAGATCATCATCATCATTGAAACAGCCTGTTACAGCCATTAAAGCTAACTTAATTAGGTAAGTCTATCAGTTTGATGAATATCCATATTTTGTTTTTCTACTATCCTCATTACTTAGTGTACCTCTTTTTTTGCAGATTTCTGACAATGGAGGATTGTTTTTTGTTGGAGAATCGAGCAACCTTGAGAGCAATGTAAGTCATATGAGCTTGTTGGTGATAGATTTTATATTGATACTTCTTTTTTAATCTATAAGCTTATGATCACAGGTCAGAATTTGGAGGAATTTTGTTCTATTTCTATATATGTGATCGCACCAATTTGATTGCAGAATCTACCAAGGTGAATTTGTTTACCTTGTTTACACTAACTGAAAAGCAGGCTATGTTTATTGGTGCATTTTAGTTGATACCCTTTTTCTTGAACAGAACTACAATCGCGACCTTTTCCTCTTCCTATACATTCTTCTTATCATAGTTTCAGCAATGACTTCTTTAAAGAAACATAGTGACAAGTCAGCATTCTCTGGAAAATCAATTTTATACCTCAATCGGCATCAGACAGAGGAATGGAAAGGATGGATGCAGGCAAGAATTTTCTCAATATCTTAACTCTGAATTCAGCTTTCTTGATATTACTATTATATTACTTTCCATAAAAACAACAGTTTTTAAGGGTTTATTTATGAATAACAACATACATGAATATTTCTAAGGGTATTCTTGTAATTTTCCCTCACCGCTTTTTTTTCCTTTGGTGTAATTTTGACAGGTTCTCTTTCTGATGTATCATTACTTTGCTGCTACAGAGATATATAATGCTATTCGTGTGTTTATTGCTGCATATGTCTGGATGACTGGTTTTGGAAACTTCTCATATTACTACATCCGCAAAGATTTCAGTATTGCACGCTTTGCTCAGGTAAACTTTTAGTACTGATGAGAATTAGGAGGGGCGTTTACGTCATTTAGGTCTTAAACTTAATATTATTGTTTTTTCTATTGCAGATGATGTGGAGGCTAAACTTTTTTGTGGCCTTTTGTTGCATTGTACTTGACAATGATTATATGCTCTACTACATCTGTCCAATGCACACACTTTTTACTCTTATGGTTTATGGAGCACTTGCTATTGGGAGCAAATATAATGAGATAAGATCAGTGATGATCACAAAGATCTTTTCATGCTTTTTTGTGGTTATCTTGGTTTGGGAGATTCCAGGAGTTTTTGAATTCATCTGGAGTCCTTTGACATTCCTATTAGGTTAGTTTAATTTTACTCCATCAAAACTAAGTTTTTTTTTTTAGTTATGATTTTAGTTTTAAAAATGAGGTCCTTGAGAGTAATTTCTTGATTTTACAGGGTATAATGATCCTGCAAAACCAAATCTCCCTCGATTGCATGAGTGGCATTTCAGATCTGGGCTTGATCGATATATATGGATCATTGGAATGATATATGCATATCTTCATCCTAATGTAAGATTTTGAAAGTTAACCTAAATGCAAGAAATAGCAATGTAATTTCATTTCTTTGTTTATTATAGAATGCTATAATACATAAATAAATGAAAGTATGTTGCTATTTCTTGTCTTTAACCTTTGAAGTTATATAAACTCAGGTTGAAAAATGGATGGAAAAACTTGAGGAGTCTGATAGTAAGCGGAGACGTTCTGTTAAAGCAACCATTGTTTCAGTGTCCGTTTTGGTTAGAATAAATATTTTTTTAATTTAATTAATTTTTTTTATAAAAGGTGATATTAATTATATTAGCTTATTTTCAGGCTGGATATATGTGGTATGAATACATATACAAATTGGACAAAGTTACATACAACAAATATCATCCCTACACATCATGGATACCTATAACGTGTGTAATTGATTCCTTTTTGATTACTTACATATATATTTTTAGGCTAAATGCAAGGTTAAAATGGTCATTTCTTTTGCTTGCAGTGTGTACATTTGCCTGCGAAATTTCACTCAACATCTTAGGAATTTCTCATTAACCCTCTTTGCGTAAGCTTCCTTTATCCAACACTATTTTAATTCTCCAAATTATGAATATATCATTTATGCATATTTTCTTAAAAAAAAAAAAAAAAAAAAAACTAAAATGTACAATTTCTATGTTTTAATAGGTGGCTTGGTAAGATCACATTGGAGACGTATATATCCCAATTCCATATCTGGCTAAGGTGCATATTACTATTTTCTCGTACTCCATTAAGTCCTAAGTTTACAAATTTGCCCCTCATTTATTTATTTTATTTTATTTCCCAATAACACAGATCAGATATTCCCAATGGACAACCAAAGTGGCTTCTATCTTTCATCCCAAATTATCCTATGCTCAATTATATGCTTACAACTGCAGTATATGTTTTGGTGAGCAAAATTATTATTGTTCTTAATAATCTTTTTTTAATTTTATCTTTATCATATAACATATTAAAATCTGTTATTTTTCACTTTATGCAGATATCTTGCAGGCTTTTTGAATTAACAAACACACTAAAATCAGTTTTTATACCTACCAAAAATGATCGACAACTTCTCTCTAATTTTCTTGCTGGAGCTGCAATTTCCACGTGTTTATACTTAATTGCTTCACTTGTTGTTCAGATTCCTCAGTAACCGGTAATAGCAACATACTTTTGTGTTTTATATTATTTGACACTATAAAAAAAATCTGCTTAATTATGTTGTTAATGTGTGTTTACAGGATCTTACATACATGAAACATACATACAAACATATGTAGATCAACTTGAAACAATATACATCTTCATTTCCATACAAGGTATACAAGGTAATCCGCACCATTGTTGTCTAGTTTCACAAAAGATGACCATGACACCAAGTCTAGTTCTCTTCAACCCTTATATCCAAACATGTAAACATATGTAACCTAGATCTGTTCTTTGTGTTTGTGTTGGTTGTAATCATTCACTGGATAATCTAGGCAATTACATTCTTTAAGAACGTAATCATTTACTTGATGCTCTTCTAAAGTGTCGACATTAAACAAATCAGAATGTAAATCACGCTTCCCAACTTAAATTTCAATAATTTTTTTTTTCATTAACGTACATTATAAGGAAAGGAATACCTCAGTAAGTCTATATTTATCATCCTAAATCATGGCCTGGAATCAACTAGTTTCATATAATAACAACTTCACCATGGAACATACATGATTAATGGCACCGAACAAACCTACAAAAAAGATCATTTATGTCACCACGATTAAGGGAAGATAAACCTCATTATGAATGAAATATGAATCACCAACATATATAAAACATCTGATATCACATCTATAATAAAGGATCATACATAATATTGCATGCAAGATAAAAAAAAAACAATAATAATCCCTTTTCAAAGCCTGTCTTGAAAAACCGGTCCTACATATCATGTTGAATGAGTTGAAAGATGCATATACAGGTTGTATCTGTTGGAGATATGCCCACCGACACTATAAGTTAGTAACGCTGCTAATAAATACGTAGGTCTATTGGGTTGCATTCAAGGCTTAATCCAAAAGCAAGAAATAAATAGATACAAAGACTAGTTTATTATTTATCATGGTTTAATTAGAAACTAAAAGAGATGACTTATTTTGTAATAAGTCAAAGGTTTAAATTATGGAATATAATTATATTAGGATAAGTATCTTAATCGGATAATTACATTATTTAGACCAAATTCGAAGAGGAAGTAAATCTGTAGAGTTTGTGCGGTTATAAAAGGAATACTCCTTTAAGAGAAAATAATAATCTTGAAACCCTATCTCCTCCCCTATTATTCTCTTTTTAACTATAAACCGAAGAGGAAGTAAATCTTAATGGTTTATGACACAAACCCTAATTAGGGTTTTTTGAAGGCTTGGAGATTTATTTGATTGGATTGCTACTTTGTAGTGCGACTGTGATAAAGGGATTCCATTATAGATCTTCTATGATTTGCTTATTTGATCATCGCAAAAAGTATACACATCAAACTCCCTTTGTAACACCCGAGACCTGTTATGTATCTCGTTCTAGCTTAAACTGCTTATTTTGCTGAAATCTGAAAAACTGAAAAAACCGATGGACGCGGGGTGCCCAATATT